ATATGTAAATTGGTTCCGCCTTTGTATGTTTATACATACCTTTATTTTGTACCCGGGGGGTGTATTTAGCTGTCGCACGTCGGAGTCCAGCTTCAGCTAGCGTTGATGCAGTGGGGTGCATGATACCCCCTTCTACCCACCCAACTAGGGATGTATCTAAATAAATAGTTTTTTGTCAATCCAGAACCAAAATATATATATGTATTATAGTTTATAATAAAAACTGAACAAAAGCTGAATAATTCAGAAGCTGAAAACAAATCACAGAAATTAATTTCATGATTATTAAAATATTTCCTAAATATGAATATCTGACTGTCTTGTAGCAATCCAACAGATATATTTAGATGAAAATTACATCTGCTTTAATTTGAGGATCACTCACTGTACACCATATGTATAAAAGCCCCATACCAACTAACAATAATGACTCCTTTTCAAATGGGGGAGAGTATAAATCAAGAGTGAGTGTGAGAGAGGGGCTGAAATACAAAGGTGAGATAACATCCAGTGTGTGTGGGTGTGGGTGTGTGAGGAAAGAAACAGGACTATATTAAGCACCACCTACCTTTCTCAACTGGTGGTCGATCATCACATTGTGGGGTTTGACGTCACGGTGCATGATTCCCATACTGTGACAGTAGTCCAGAGCCTGACACGCACACAGATGTGATATCAGAGCAGACAATCATATACATTAGTGAACACAACGTTTCTCATTCTCAGGCACATTGCCAAAATAAGAGACTAAGCGGGAACATTTCTTGTCTTGTAATTTCAACATAATTTAAAATAATTGTTGTAATGTCTTACCTTCAGTAGTTCGTACATATAGAAACGGATATCATAATCTGTCAACTTCTGGTACAACTCCTGCAGGGAAACACACATTTACATCAGGGAGTGAACGTCTTCTGTCACAGACTGACTGCACCTTGGCCAAAAAAAAGAAAACCTTCTTCTATGTAGCGCTTCGAAAGGTATAGCTCATTTGAAGCCATTGCCATATGACCTACAATAGTTTGGCCTACAGAGTGGTGCAGGAATGAGTCTTAACCCAGAAATGAGTTAGCATTTTACCACTTCCGGTTCTCTCGTCTGGAACACGTTTTATTTGTTTTGTTAGATATCTGGAATAACGATTAACCCCCGCCCCCGATCTCGGCTCAGTAGAATGAATGGAGAGAGAAAATAAATCTGGATTCGGCTTTTACTGCATTTTACAACTTTTAAAACCTGGTGATTCAAATAAGGGCTTTAAAAGTGTTCATACTGGGCGGTTTATTTCGTTTTAAAAATAATTATCCGCTTCTTTCCCAGTGTTAGTCAATGGGAAAAAGTATTCTGGGCCCAGTGACGTCACTGACTGATACAGAAATTTTACTATCGCAGTTTGGCCACTACGAATATTTTCCTCAGTGTCCGGAGCACTTCTTGGGGGCTTGGTAAATGTTCAACGCTTCTATGTGTCCTAAAATGGTGGTTGCTAACAAGTGACTAAATGACTACCCATTCCTCTGAATGTTAGCTGCCTTGAACTTAGCGTTGTTGTTGTTGTAAAGTTAGCAACCGTGATGTAGTTTGTCAATAGGCTAACCATAGCTTTTTACTTCTGAAGATTGTATTTCCACTTAAGAAATCACAACTTTGGATGATATGTGGAGGTTATCCTCCTGAAAAAAATGTTGAAGCGTCATAAGCATGTGTTTGCCACAGAGCTTATTTTCTGCAACATTCCAATGGAAAAATCCTATTGGCTTTTGTCGAGGGAGCCGTAGCAATGCTAACTTCCGGGTTAAGGCCCTGACACACCAAGCAGTCACCAGAGAACTCGCCGACGCTGACGCCGACTGTTGCGTCGGCATGTTCTCCTGCGTCTTGGCCATGTGTCGCACTGGAACACACTGCAAAGACTTCAGCCGAGCACGTACGAACTGCGCATGCGTGAGTGGCAATAACTCTCCTTACCAGCAGGCGGCGGTAGTGTGTATTCGTCATTAAAAACAGGCAACAACCGGAAGACAGAGAAGAAGAACAGACTACGTGATATAAACAAACAACAAATAGAGTGTGGGTTCCATTTTCACTCTCGTCCATCGAAAACATGTTTTGTGCGGTACTGGAGCTATCAGCCATTGGAGTGTTGCTTGTGGAAGACATTCTCAAGCAACCGTTTTGCTTCTCATGCACTGATTCGCTAGCTGAACAGCCAATCAGAGTGATTTCTTTGTCCGACTGCCTGTGGCCGACGCGTCGGCTATGAAAGGCCAAATAAGGCGTGTCACGGCCGACGGTGCGTGACACACCAAATTGAGTTTGGACGACAGGGCACGCTTCGTCGTCCGACTAACGAAAACGGCCGATTTCGGCCTGGTGTGTCAGGGCCTTTAGCCAACAAACATACGCCATCACTGCACCACTCTATAGAAAGCTAATGTACATTCAGGATTCTAGCTGTTCTGAATTAGTTTCTTCGTGGTTGACTGCACTTTCTGTAAATCGCTTTGAAATTAAATGTAATCTTTAATTTGAAATAAGTAAAAAGCTGAAGCCACCTGCACTCTGATGAAGACAGTACAACATGGGACATGATGGACCCCAGAAGAAGAAGCATGCAGAAGAGAGGGGATCATTGTACCTTGAAGTCTGTGTTATTGATGCATTCAAAGACCAGCGCTGGAGTTCTGGACTGTACAGCCACCACAGAGAGGAGAGAGGAAAGGGAAGTGTCAGAGAGAAGGAATCAGAAAAATATAGAAATAAAGGCAAGAGCAATATGTGACTCATTACTGATCAAAACACAGATTCAACAACCACCTTAACCTGCTGGAAGAGAACTGGACCCAAACCCAATTTAAAGTAAAATCATCCGCATCATGCTTAATAATCAGTCACTGTTTGATTGAACTTGATTTAAAAATGGTGCATGATTGTATGACAAGTATTGTTTTTGTAAATGTGTATGCATGAAACTATGGGCATTATTAAATAGATGGATTTTAAAATCCGAAGACGATTACTTTTTTTTATCCTTCATGACAGTTGCTACATTTGAGAATGAAAAAAGAAAGAAAAAGAAAAAAATAGTAAAATGAATTCTATAATATCAGAAGGTTATATAAAAATGTGGAATAAAAAGTGAAAAATAAAGAAATGATGATGTACTTTTATGTTACTTACTTAATACTCGATTCAGTCAACTGAGGAAATGAATGGTAATTTTTTTCCAATATGTTTCCTTCCTGGTTTGCTAGAGATACAGCAGATTCTTAAAAATGGCCTAATGAGTAGGATTTTCCTAAAAATAATCCCTCTCTCTCATCACCTATGACCCACATGAAGTGTGTGGGAAGTGTGTTTGCATCAGCAGAGAAGGCTTCTTAATTCTCTAATTTCCCCTCCTCCACTCCTATCCTCGTGTCTGAGTCCCGCCCACATGAGATGCAAGCTGAGGAGTCGAGGAGGGGAACCGAGGAGATAGGAGGGGAAGCAGCAGGCGGTTAGAGAAATGAGAACTCCTCTCCTCTGAGCGGTCATTTTAAAGAGACGTCCATTAATGAGGACAGGAGGCACAGCAGCCCTCTTTCTGATGGACAGATGTGTTCATGACCACTTATATATTTACTTTTAATTCATTAACAGTGCGGTATAATGAGACAACAACAGGCTACATATGCGGACACACACACACACACACACACACACACACACACACACACACACTATATATATACACACACACACTATATATATAATAA